TAATATCCACATTCACTGAGGCTACCTGTTTTAGGAAGATAATAGAGTAATTTTTGACCAGGCCCTGTCGTTTAACCGTGATAAAGTATCGAAGCCAACGTTGCTGCACAGACTTCAACTTTCGTTCCTGCTCTTTCATTAGAACCGTTGTCTCAGTGTCATATAATAACAGTGACTTGACAGAGGCGAAGAACAGGCGAATTTTCATCAGAGATATTGAACAGGTTTTCTTTAATACCCGCTAGGCTGGGTTGATTCTCATATGTAACTCTGGCTGGGTAATGTCATCGTTGGAGCCGATGAAATCCAGATATTTAAATTGGTCAACCTCCTGAAATGCTTCATCTCCCTGTTCCGCAGGTAGATCAGCAGTATCGAATGTATTCCTCATAACTTCTGACTTATGGGCGTTATTGAAGAGGCTGGCTGGCTTTCACATCTGTGTTGCATACGGAAGAAATCAGACGACAGAACCCGTTTCCCGTACTACTCAGCAGAACAATATCATCTGCATTTTTTAGATCAGCCAAATATCTAGTCGGATATCTTGGATTGCATATTCTGTCTAGAATGAAATCCATATCTTTGCCAGGGATCAACGCTGTTTTCGGGAAGGAAGTTGAAAGCAATGGCTAATGGCATCACGTGGCAGATGCGACTGAAGCTAGGTCTGATGTCGACTAGGAATTCTCTGTGTCGCTTTTGCAGTAAACAGTTCCATATATTAAAATACAAAGAGCTGAAGGGAACTTCGTATAACTTTAAAAAAACCTCATTCTGCAGATGCATTAAACATAGAACAGAGCAAGCAGCGTCATGGCAGTCAACGTGTTTACAGTCGGCGGTTTCTGCCCTTGTTGCTGCATGAGAGCTTCAGAGAATTGACCGACTACATAGTACATGTGAGAGGTATAGCTACGTGAAGACCCTGAGTACTTGGATGCCCATATGTTATTATCAGGAATAGGTCTTTCAATATCGACTTACAGAAGATATAATGTATTGCATTTCTATTCCATGTTCCGTTCACCTAATGACGAGTGGTTTTCAGAAAATAGAGCCATCAAGGCATGGCTTGTTTTGCTTACCGTTTGTACGGTCGCACTCCTCGCTTACCTGCGAAAAGGTTTCAGTGCAAACTTACGGCCAATGCATACTTCACCTCCGGGCCTTTCCAGAATCAGAGCTAACTCTTTTCCTGGCAAGGAATCTACGTATGGAACCCTGGTCGTTGGTTGCAGTGGTAATTTGGGCAATATGATGTTCGAATATGCGTCTCTGTATGGACTGGCAAAGACCAACAATCTAAAGCCTTATTTTGCCTGTGACAATGGACTTCTATACGAATCGTTCAAAGTGACCATCACGAGAATCGAACGCCCTCCTGAAGGACTAACGTTTGTTTCCGGCGAACCGTGCTGCATATTTAAACAAGAACTTGTGCATCTGTCGCCGATGCAAAACTACTCGGTTGGAGGATACCTTCAGTCTTGGAAATATTTCGTCAATTATTTCGAAGAGATACGAAAAGAGTTCACTTTTGAGGATCGAGTTCGCGAAACTTGCGAACAACAGTTCGACAAGATCTTGAAGAAACTGGACGTTGCGTCGAGTTACGTGTCGGTCGGTATTCACGCGCGAAGAGGAGATTTTGTTTTACCCGAAAAGGTACGGTTTGGCCATGCCGCCGCGAACGCCACATTTCTACACGACGCTGTGGCGTTGGCACGTCGAGAACTGTCACCCCTCGATCGAAGGATCGTTTTCATAGTGGCTGGGAACGATTTTCAGTGGAACACAAACCACGTCAACGCATCCGCGGATGTCTATGTTCTAAAACCTATATCGGCGGCCGTCGACATGTGCATTTTGTCCTTGTGTGATCATATTATCTACTCAAGTGGCAGCTACGGCTGGTGGTCAGCATTTCTATCCAACGGTCGAGCATGGTATCAAAAAGACATATGTTTGCCAGGAACTCCGTTGTGCAATATGACTAAATCGGAGGATTATTTACTGCCCATGTGGACCGCCTTATCATCATCATGAGGCTTAAATCGTCCAGCATTTGGTTCGCAATGAGCAATATATTTTACAGTAAGCGTTCGGTTACGGAAGGTGTCACATCTTACTTGAATATTAAATCGTTTCTATTCGATTTTATTCACTATCCAAAAACCAGCGATCACGATCACAGCAGGAGTAATGAAGTGTGAGATTTCTTCTTTTACCCTCGGTGTCTGCTGCTGGAGTCAACTACCTCCACATTCTGGATCTTTGGTTAAGTCTTCAATGTCGTTCTTTACGACATCGCCTACCTTTTCTTTGGTCATCTCGTCTTTTCTTCTCTGATAGTGTCGATACGTCCAACTTCCACACTTCCAACTGAATCAACCGAGCCTGCTATTGGCAAGATTTTCTACCATTGGTATTATACTTAAAGTGCTTCTTATCAAGATATTCCGGATATGATCTTTTTCCTGACTCCATATGTCCATCTGATTATTCGCATTTCTACAGTGTACCGCCGTTGCTCGTGTCTTTTGAGGTATCCATACATTTCACTCCTTCGAGAAGTACCATTTTCCTTCAGCTCGATGAATATCTTCTTATCGGTCACTCTTTCTTAACCAATTTCTTAATTCGCAGACAAGTTTTTCGTTGTCTTGAAGGATAAAATCACGGTAATTGGATCTTTGGGTTTCAGCACCATTATGCCTGCTATTTTCGCTGATTCGCCGGCAAACAAAGTGAGCGTTCAATGAAACTTTCTAGTTTCCTCTTAGAATGTTTATACTTAATTAGACTGACAAAAGGACCGTAGTGCGGTTTTATTAGCCGATCTATTTACGTATCAATCATTAGTGTATTAAGATATGCCCCTTTTCTCTCTTGCTGACTCCTTCTTCAAGTTCTAATAATTTTCGATTGCTTTACACCTGGGATTTTGCTCGTACGACTGTTTCCATGTTAGCGGAATTTCACACGATAAACACGCCAATTTGTGCCGCCATTAAATTTTGACGAATAAAAGCTTTTTGATATTTAATAATGTCTTACTTACGTCATTACTGTCTTCGAAGCGGATGACAGCCCATTTCTTGAATCATGACTTTTATACGCAAAAACAGAATCCGATGTTATGGGCTAACTAGCATACTGCTACTTATCGATACCGCCACTGATAGAACGCAGTGTGGTAGCAGTGGCTCTTCCTCGAAGAAAATGAAAGTTTTTTCTTTGAGACAAAATAAGCCACACACAGTGCAGATTAACTTCTTTTTCCTTTCGTCTCTCAACTGTTCGATTTAGTTGGCTTTTAATATATTGTAAATTATGCATGTAAGTAGGTCAGAAAAGCCAGTGAACTTCTCGAGTTAATCACGGCGGAACTCCTCAGCAATTTGGACTAGTTCTCCCTATGTCAGATGTGATACCGAACTTCTATGCTGTTCTCTTTTTTTCCATTGTGCACGCCATCGTGCATACAGTGCCTCGGTATGGGGGAACTTCACACACTTTGTCTACGTGATTTCGAATGGTGTGAATCAGACAGACAGTACGATATGTTCACCAAGCACGTCTCACAAATGGGACAAGTTTCGTTAGTAAGGATCTTCCATCTCGCCAAACTTCATAATAGCATTCCGTTGCACGTGGAGCACACATGGGTTGCGATGATAAATCAGATAGCTGAGGCATTCTTTGCATGTCTGGCATGCTGTCTTCAAGAAAAATCCTATTTCCCTGATGACCGTGATAAAGATTTTTCCATCTGGATTTCACAGTCAATACCAGCGTACCTTCCTTGCTTGTATGAAAGTTGGTGCGGAACTGTAGCTCAGCTACTTTCTCTTGAAACATGGACATGACAATGGGCGTAATGCAACTGAAGACCTTCAGTTTCAAACGAGTATTCGATTAGTTCCTAAAAGCATAACTCTGAAACAACAGACAAGAAAAAATTGAATGTACGTAATATTCTGTTTCTCAATACAATCGCTACAGTCATAAACAAAATTCAACGAAATAATTTCTTGACTAGCCAATAGTTCAGTCATAAGTCATTGTGGTCATCATGAGGACATCGTTAAGCAGGAAGAGTAAAGTAGCGCTAGGAGGTAAACAGTTTAAATTGAAGTGAGTCATAAAATTTACAAGGTTATCAAATTAAACGTACTGTCTTTAATGAATGATTAGGGTCCAACATCTTAAAGCAAAGATGAAAGGTTAATCACTTTACACGTTTCGTTGCCGACACTTGCAACATCGTCAGGACCGACTGATATCAATAGCGTTACTAACATATGGCGTTGAGCATTTAAATAAACTCTTCTATCTTTGTTCGAAGTTTCATTATCATAACCATGCATCAAGAAAATGGTCCTTTTATTAGTTATGGACTCGAATCATAAATTCGCTCAAAAAAGTTAGGCTAAAACAATGGTATTGCGATATAGCAGTTTAAACGAATTAGAGAGGCATCAAAAATTGAAGTAGACAAAGCAATTCCATCGTTATCCAAAGCCTCGATGAGAAAGGAAGGTCAGAACCATGGCGAGATCCCTCGGAAAACTTAGCCACTCGCCTTTCATGATATTGCTGCTATCGAACGTTCTATCGGCTCGGTTGTCTACAACGGAAAATTGTAAAATC